GATCGAACTGACAAAGAACTAATGAAGATGGTACAATGGTGGGCGCCAATATCCCTCTGAGATCTCTTGTTTTTAAGATCCAGTCACAATGTCTTGCTTACGTTATTAAATATGTATATATGTAAAACTTCAGGATGCCATTCATGATGGTGACGTGTTCCGCAGCAATGCAACAATAAAATACATGATACCGTTTTTGTATTCTCACTTTAGTCTTTCAAAGTATGGAATGCATTGATGTTATTATGAAGACACAGCTTACTCTGCCTCCAAACTATGCACCGAGTGTGCAAAGTGGAAGAAGACAGAACAAACAGCTGAAATACACAAAGAGAATGAGGTGAAACTCTTAAAGGATCTTATTAAAGGACTAGGAGCGAACAAATCAGAACACTCAATTATTGAAATATCGAAAGCAGCTCTGGTAATGGCTGCCGCTGTCGGTAATTTTGACCAAATGTTAGACCTGAAGGTTGTTAATTGATCTCACAAGAAGAAATCATCTGTAGATGACATTAATGCCATCCTACAAGTGCTGAAAACTTTAGATCTATGGCAATCTGGCAAGGTATGTTCTCTGCACGGGTTCAGGGATATGAAAAGGTCCCCTTTTGCACCAGACAAAAATCAATTGTTCCTTACAATCCAGAAAACGATTGAAAGGCTTCAAAGTGACCTGCAGGATATTGATGAAGAGAGCGATGAGGACAGTGATTATAGCTTTTGAGGATAAAGTGCCATTAGAATGTCAGAGTTATATGTAAATCAGCTATGTAATATGTCAGAGTGAATTCAGCTATAGTCTGTCAGAGTTAAGTCAGCTATAGTGTGTCAGCGTTAAGTCATCTATAGGATGTCAGAGTTGTGTCAGCTATAGTCTGTCAGAGTTGTGTCAGCTATAGTGTGTCAGAGTTAAGTCATCTATAGGATGTCAGAGTTAAGTCAGCTATAGTCTGTCAGAGTTGTGTCAGCTATAGTGTGTCAGAGTGAATTCAGCTATAGTCTGTCAGAGTGAAGTCAGCTATAGTCTGTCAGGGTTAAGTCAGCTATAGTCTGTCAGAGTTAAGTCAGCTATAGTCTGTCAGAGAGTTAATTCAGCTATAGTATGTCAGAGTAAAGTCAGCTATAGTGTGTCCTGTTTAAGTCAGCTATAATGTGTCAGGGTTAAGTCCGAAATAGTGTGTCCTGTTTAAGTCAGCTATAGTGTGTCAAGTTTAAGTCAGCTATGTTGTATCAGAGTTAAGTCAGCTATAGTATGTCAAGATTTAAGACAGCTAAAGTATGTCAGAGTTTAGTCAGCTATAGTGGGTCACAATTAAGTCAGCTAAAGTGTGTCAGGGTTGAGTCAGCTATAGTGTGTCAGGGTTAAATCAGTTATAGTCTGTCAGAGTGAAGTCAGCTATAGTATGTCAGAGTTGTATCGGCTATAGTGTGTCAGGGTTGTGTCAGCTCTAGTGTGTCAGGGTTGTGGCAGCTATAGTGTGTCAGGGTTGTGTCAGCTATAGTGTGTCAGGGTTGTGGCAGCTATAGTATGTCAGAGTTGTGTCAGCTATAGTGTGTCAGGTGTGTCAGCTATAGTTTGTCAGAGTGAAGTCAGCTATAGTGTGTCATAGTGAAATCAACTAAAGTGTGTAAGGGTTAAGTCAGAAAAAGTCTGTCAGAAAAATACTTTCCAAGGGACACTTTGGTCTCCATATAATCTTCGTATTTATTTGACCTTGATGTATTTCAAGAAGGATGTAATATGTGTCATATTGAGGTCTCCTTCCTTAATACTTGTAATGACTGTATCTCTTTTAATACTTTCACATTGAAAGTTCCATATGAAATCAAAAAGAGTTTTATTAAGATTTTTGATGAACTCCTGTGTTGGATTTGGTGAACAAACATTGGTATTACAAGTGTAATACGACCAAGAGTGAGGTCTCTATATTTCCACTATCTAAAATATTTATTTGTTGGAGTTTGAAGATAAGTAAACAAAAATAATGCCTAATAACCTGAAGCTAGGTGTAGACCATTTAATATTCAAATATTCACAAATTCTTTCGTGTGAATACTTTTTACTTCCTAACCAATACAGACTAGATGTTGAAATGTTATATTTAGTCCAGATAATGCACTACTGTGTACAGAGACTGACTAGTCCAATCAAATAAAAGATAGGCATCATCAGCATTAAGTCTAAGTTTAAACTCGTTTCCAGATATGACTAACTAGTCCTTTAATAACATTAGTCAATTTAATTGCAAAAGACAAAAGTTCTACTTCATTTATAAATAGATATGGAGATAGTGGATCCCCTTTGCGACATCCACGCTCTAGATTTCAAAAAGGGTTATACATAACCATTTTTAATTATACTGCTTTTTGATTTATTATACAGAAGTTAATCCAGGATCCTAATGACTGGGCAAAGCTGAAGGACCCCAATGCCTTATCTATAAAATTCCATTCAATCAAATACTTTACATCATATAAAGGTCTTGTGTTATCAGCTATAAACTTACCTTTATAAAACCTGTCTGTGTCACACTTATTATACTAGGGAGGGTTTCTTAAATCCTATTTCTATTGCAGCCGAAGTTATTTTATAGTCTACATTAAAAAGTGACATCAGTCTCCATTTTTTAAATAACGTTTATCTTTAAAAAAAAATGTAATACAGGCAATTGTTTCCACATTCCGAAATTCTGAAAGTTTCCCTGTTCTGTTTGCATAATTTATTGATATGACCAAAAATTATCCCAAGTCTTTCAAATTCATCTGAACCCTGGACTTTTGCCATTTTTCATATTTTGTAGCTAATTCAGTAGCTCGTAAAATGCCCTCATACCTTTCTTTTTCTGTTTTCTGAAGTTTTACTTGATAATGGAAAAAACATTATTATATAATAGAGTTATTAATAGAGTTGCAATCCGTAAGTCTACTAGTTGGAATGTTTTGAAAAGATTAACTTCTGCTTCAAGTATTTCTTCCTAGTTATCTAATATATCCCAATCGTCTGTGATTGGTTCTGTTTTGAAATTATTAAAAAAATGTCTTTTTTCCAAATCACAAAATTATTTTGTCGCTTTCTCCCCATTTTCATTCCAATTTGCCTTTGACCTTAGCATTAATCCTTCTATCCTGTTTTTACGGATTTTTTCTAGATGTTGATTTTTATTCTCAAATTGTTTATAATTAGGATTTAAGTTCAATTCTTTTTCTTATGTTGATATTTTAGTGTCTAAATCTTTCTCTAGTTTCCTGTTTTGTTTTCCTTGTGCTATTGAATATGTGATAGTGATGGATCTTAATTTCATTTTCAAAATCGAACAATTGGTCGTTAATTCTAAATACTATATCTTTCATGTTTTCCTTATCACCCTCTACGTTATACTCATCAATTGTCTCTGTAATGCAGCTTTTGACCCTTTGTATGTATGCAGTGTCCCCCAGAAGTGCTGTGTTGGGTTTCAAATATCCTTCCCCCCTTTCAGTGATTTTAGAATTAACTTCTAAAACAATGCCTGAGTGGTCTGTTTTATATCCCAGTATAATCTTTGAGTCTTTAGTTCGTAAATAAATGACTTCTGAGACCAAAACATAATCTAATCTACTCTGTTGTAAAGGGTTTTGTCGTCTCCATGTTAAATTTCTCAATCAACAAGTTCATAAGTATCTATTATACGTTTTATCTTTTCCTGGGCTCTTTGATTATAATCAAGTCTTATGTTGTGTGTGTCCATATATTTGTCTTATACTGCAGTCCAGTCACCACATAATATTAAAGTAAACTAATCGAATACTTTCAAAGTATTAAGTAAATTCATAAAAAGTCTGGGTAATCCTGGTTTGGTCCCTATATACTATATATATGTCAAATCCATTAGAATACATTTCCCTGAATTGTCAATTATACTATCATGTATTGTGCATTCAAACGTATTTCTCAGAAACATTGCCACACCCGCTATACATTTATATCCCTATTCCCTTTCCCAAATTTTCATAACAGAATGTAACATACAATGTCTGCCTGTTTCTGCTTGACCCAATGAAATACATTTATCAGAGTACAGCCCCCTTATTTTCATTGATAAAGACTTCATACTTCCTGAAACCAGCCAAACGTCCCCCAATCACCCCATTCATTGATTTCCGCTTTTCATTTGAAATATTAGATATGTACACACACACAACACTGTTATTTGACATTACACTTAAAATAAGATACAAGAACATACACACAACGTCATTCTTTAACATCACACTTAAAATGTTGATAATATGAACCATGAGTTCAAGAGTATGAATTTTGAACCACCACTCTGTTATTGTTTTTTGTTGTTTGTTTTGTTTTTATTTGTACAGTACACTAATTAGATTCCTCTCAGACACTGCATTTATCAAATAACATTATCTAAACATGAAATGATATTCAAACGTTTCCTTCAACATTATTTCCCTATCCCCCAGTTTGGAGCCTATAAGAAGCACCCCAAGGGCGTAGCTAGGCCTTAAGCGTCTGAAGTTGTTTGAGGGATGTTTGTTTTTCTAATAATCTTAGCAAACGTCGTGATAGTGGAAGAATAAATCTTAGGTAACCGCCAGCTATTCTGACTGCCTGATTTTTTTTTTTAAAGTAAGAAGTTATCCAAAATAGCCACCAGTTATCATAATATACAAATATATATCTAAAAATATAACTAATTTCTTTTTGGTCGAATCGGTTCAATTTCTTAAGGTAATGTTCACATATTACGAATTAACTATTGCCCCTTTTTGGAAATTAATGAAATACTCTTCGTAAAAATGAGAAATAGATTTGTTTCAATGATAACATTTGTTAAACATGTGTACATAAAACGAAAGGAAACGGGTAGGCATAAACAAGAGACGTCGAGGGAAACACGTTATTCCTGTCACTATTGTTTATTTCCCGAAGCGGAAATCCAAGTCGATTCCGTAAACATCCGCCCGTTTCCGTCTCTCACACTATATAGCGTTGAGTTCTTTCGACACATTTCACAGCCAACTTCAAACTCCATTGATCTTTAGAGCGGACAGAACGATACAACAAAAGTCAAGATGCAAGCACCTATATCGTAATTAATTATTTTATTTATCTATTATTTATTCATTATTAACCTATTGATTATGTTTTATCATTTATTTATTTATTAATAATTTATTTATTTATAATTGAATAATTTATTATTTATTTATAATTGAATAATTTGTTATTTATTTATTATTAACTCGTTAATTAAATTTATTATTTCCATTTTTATTAATCAATTTATTTAAAATCTATTTTATTTATTTTTATTTTGCTAGCGAGACACTCAACGTTTATTTCAATGCTAATATAATCGCCTAACTTTTTACGTTGTAGACACGTCATTTATAACTTTTAATAATTTGTGTTTATTTATTTATAATTGTTTTTTTAATTTTGATTTATTTATTTGTATTTTATTTCATTCATTTTTATTTTGATAACGAGATCTCCACGTTTATTTCAATGCTAGTAGGACAGTGGCCCACGTTTTAACGTTGTAGTAATGCTAGTTTTACTATGTTAAATTACATGCATGTCTAATTACGATGTATTATCAGTACATCTTAAAAATGTATTCTGCTTTAATGATGAAACAATATGGCAGTAATTGCTTTCGTTTGATTTCTGTCATAACAAGACCATTTTTCGAAATTGAAAATGTTAAGATTACCGCTGAGACTAATTGTATATAGCAGGCTTGTTGATTTCCTAATATTTACAGTTTCAAGTGTAATTGACTCAATAACCTTTGTTGAGGTCATTATCATTATCACTCGATATAGACAGCCAAGTCCTTATTCTGTAGCAGATCAATTTTGTTTTTTCAATGTTCCCTAAGCAAATTGTACAGAAGTAAACTCTCGTGCGCGTAGTAATACATACACCGTGTACATATGTGTACGTCAACAATCCGGGGGTTTCCATTGCTGTAAACATAAGTACTGCGGCTACCAGATTTGTTCATCTCATTAGTGTATTATTATCTCATTAGTGTATTCATGCAAAAGATACATTGTTGAAATGCATACATTCCGATAACGTCACGTTGTTTACAGCGCCCGACTCTATGGTGATTACTGCACCGACTGACAGGACGGCTGGGTTTTGTGTTTTTCTACGTGTTGGCGTTCATTTACATACGTTTACTTTCATGACATATAGTGTAAACAGTAACGAGAAAAACGATAGTATTTCGACAATAACGTTCGATATACGGCAATTTTGCACACGAACTGGGTTTTGTAATGTTTGAAGTTAAAATTAAAATTATAAAATTACCTCGTGTGTTTGTGATTTTGTAGACACTATGCCTAGTTACCGTTGACGTGGAATCTACAAAAATACGAGAGAGTTCCGAAACTGCGAGCCGTTGGTGCCATATTATAGCGTTCCGGAATTAAACGGGACATCTTTGGGTATTAAATATAACTGTTGAGATAAACTGGTAATGGAATGACAACGATATGATTTTATTATAACAGTTTACCATTGCGAGTGAAATATTTTACAAGTGCATCGGGTTACGCAACTTTGCAAGTTGTGTTAAAAATAGCCGCATAGAGCAACTTTGAAGTAACAGTTGTCACTAATGAGGTATGGTTACATGTTAAAGAGCGAACATACAAACCAATTTGATGTTTATTTTGAAGATATGCAGCCGATTTCGTTCGTATAAGTCCTAGTTTGGACGTATCATGTCACGGTGGCCTTCGAAGCGTGCACGTGGCGCGAAGCGTAACCGTATCACACATCGGGCTTGAATGGTCCCGCGGGATATATTCCGGTTAAAAGAACGCGTTTTAAATATAAGGATTAATCACTTTCTATTTAGTTTAAGTTATCGGGCGATAACTACAATGGAACTCGAGTAAATTTATCATAATCGGCTTTCTTTGCCGATTATTCAATTTACCCGAGTTGCATTGTGGTTATCACCCGATAACCTACACTAAATAGAAAGTTAATCCTTTAATAAGTGTGTGAAAAAAATCTTTTAAATCTTTATTTTTTACCAACAGGAGAACTGAAATATTGCATTTTCATAGAAAAAGTGGTTTTCTATATTAAATAGGATCTTATGGGAGAAAAAAGGCCCTCAAACTCGTGAGGGGTTGGCTATCATAGTTATCTAACTTTCATTAATTAATTTCAGATGGAAACAATGCACAAGGGTAAAATTTGAACATTTATAGAATTTGAAAATTTAGTTAAGAGAGTAAGATGAACATGGAAACTAATTACACTCGTTGGGGAATAATTATATATATTTATATCTATATATTTTTGTATCTATGTCTATTAATCAATGCAATTCCAGTATATATAGCGACATAGCCCCATACGTTTTAATTAATATCTAAAACGACACAGCCCAATACGGTTTTACTAATATCTAGAACGATACAGTGCTACACTTTTTTTTACTTATATCCTATAACGTAACAGCCCCATACGAATATACATAAAGAAAAACACTGGCTGCGAGCAAAAGACGAAAATAAACTGATGTGTTTCTTTTCTCTCTTTTAATTCAGAAACGTCGTCGTGAACTTCAAAGGCGGCAATTATACCGGTAAGTATTACGCTGCTACACTATTACGCTCATCTTTCAATAAGAAATAAAACCTCATTATCATTATCACTATTTAGTTTCAATATCATACGCACGCGTCTTACAGTGTCAATATAATCCCAGTATACCAAAATACAGTTAATATTGAAATAAATTTTATAGATTCAGTAAACATTTTAATAAATGTGTTAGATACAGTAAAGACCGTAATAAATGTTATAGATATACAGTTAACATTGTATTAAATGTTATAGACATACAGTAAACATTGTAATAAAAGTTATAGATATACAGTCAACATTGTAATAAATGTTATAGACATACAGTAAACATTGTGATAAAAGTTATAGATATACAGTAAACATTGTAATACATGTTATAGACATACAGTAAACATTGTAATAAATGTAATAGACATACAGTAAACATTGTAATAAAAGTTATAGATATACAGTCAACATTGTATTAAATGTTATAGAAATACAGTAAACATTGTGATAAAAGTTATAGATATACAGTAAACATTGTAATACATGTTATAGACATACAGTAAACATTGTAATAAATGTAATAGACATACAGTAAACATTGTAATAAAAGTTATAGATATATAGTCAACATTGTAATAAATGTTATAGATATACAGTAAACATTGTAATAAATGTTATAGACATACAGTAAACATTGTAATAAATGTTATAGATATACAGTCAACATTGTAATAAATGTTATAGATATACAGTAAACATTATAATAAATGTTATAGACATACAGTAAACATTGTAATAAATGTTATAGACATACAGTAAACATTGTAATAAAAGTTATAGATATACAGTCAACATTGTAATAAATGTTATAGATATACAGTAAACATTGTAATAAATGTTATAGACATACAGTAAACATTGTAATAAATGTTATAGATATACAGTCAACATTGTAATAAATGTTATAGATATACAGTAAACATTGTAATAAATGTTATAGACATACAGTAAACATTGTAATAAAAGTTATAGATATACAGTCAACATTGTAATAAATGTTATAGATATACAGTAAACATTGTAATAAATGTTATAGACATACAGTAAACATTGTAATAAAAGTTATAGATATACAGTCAACATTGTAATAAATGTTATAGATATACAGTAAACATTGTAATAAATGTTATAGACATACAGTAAACATTGTAATAAAAGTTATAGATATACAGTCAACATTGTAATAAATGTTATAGATATACAGTAAACATTGTAATAAATGTTATAGACATACAGTAAACATTGTAATAAAAGTTATAGATATACAGTCAACATTGTAATAAATGTTATAGATATACAGTAAACATTGTAATAAATGTTATAGACATACAGTAAACATTGTAATAAAAGTTATAGATATACAGTCAACATTGTAATAAATGTTATAGATATACAGTAAACATTGTAATAAATGTTATAGACATACAGTAAACATTGTAATAAAAGTTATAGATATACAGTCAACATTGTAATAAATGTTATAGATATACAGTAAACATTGTAATAAATGTTATAGACATACAGTAAACATTGTAATAAAAGTTATAGATATACAGTCAACATTGTAATAAATGTTATAGATATACAGTAAACATTGTAATAAATGTTATAGACATACAGTAAACATTGTAATAAAAGTTATAGATATACAGTCAACATTGTAATAAATGTTATAGATATACAGTAAACATTGTAATAAATGTTATAGACATACAGTAAACATTGTAATAAAAGTTATAGATATACAGTCAACATTGTAATAAATGTTATAGATATACAGTAAACATTGTAATAAATGTTATAGACATACAGTAAACATTGTAATAAAAGTTATAGATATACAGTCAACATTGTAATAAATGTTATAGATATACAGTAAACATTGTAATAAATGTTATAGACATACAGTAAACATTGTAATAAAAGTTATAGATATACAGTCAACATTGTAATAAATGTTATAGATATACAGTAAACATTGTAATAAATGTTATAGACATACAGTAAACATTGTAATAAAAGTTATAGATATACAGTCAACATTGTAATAAATGTTATAGATATACAGTAAACATTGTAATAAATGTTATAGACATACAGTAAACATTGTAATAAAAGTTATAGATATACAGTCAACATTGTAATAAATGTTATAGATATACAGTAAACATTGTAATAAATGTTATAGACATACAGTAAACATTGTAATAAAAGTTATAGATATACAGTCAACATTGTAATAAATGTTATAGATATACAGTAAACATTGTAATAAATGTTATAGACATACAGTAAACATTGTAATAAAAGTTATAGATATACAGTCAACATTGTAATAAAAGTTATAGATATACAGTTTACATTGTAATAAATGTTATAGATATACAGTAAACATTATAATAAAAGTTATAGATATACAGTTTACATTGTAATAAATGTTATAGACATACAGTAAACATTATAATAAATGTTATAGATATACAGTCAACATTGTAATAAATGTTATAGATATACAGTCAACATTGTAATAAAAGTTATAGATATACAGTTTACATTGTAATAAATGTTATAGATATACAGTAAACATTATAATAAAAGTTATAGATATACAGTTTACATTGTAATAAATGTTATAGACATACAGTAAACATTATAATAAATGTTATAGATATACAGTCAACATTGTAATAAATGTTATAGATATACAGTCAACATTGTAATAAAAGTTATAGATATACAGTCAACATTGTAATAAAAGTTATAGATATACAGTCAACATTGTAATAAAAGTTATAGATATACAGTAAACATTGTAATAAATGTTATAGATATACAGTAAACATTGTAATAAATGTTATAGATATACAGTAAACATTGTAATAAATGTTATAGACATACAGTAAACATTGTAATAAATGTTATAGATATACAGTCAAAAATGTAATAAAAGTTATAGATATACAGTCAACATTGTAATAAAAGTTATAGATATATAGTTTACATTGTAATAGATGTTATAGATATACAGTAGGGATTGTAATAAATGTTATAGACATACAGTAAACATTATTATAAATGTTATAGATATACAATCAACATTGTAATAAAAGTTATAGATATACAGTAAACATTGTAAAAAAAAGTTGTAGATATACAGTAAATATTGTAATAAAAGTTATAGATACAGAAAACTTTATGTGCCACTATGTCTGAAGCATTTGTTTTACGTTGCATATTAAACATATTTGAGTTGGTAAAATCTGTATCCATCCTCGCATTTACATAGACAATCCTTAAAATGAAAACTGAAATAGTTTAGGAACTGTATTGCTTTTATATTTCAGCCCAGGGAAGTCAGGCTGTCAAGGATGCATGGAAAGATATTGCTGATAATAACAATATACCAACAGGCAGTTTCCATGCAAACCATGCTCATATCCTTAAGTTGAAGGTAGGTTTATTTTGTATTAAACACATGTCATCAGGGTCCTATAGTAATCGGTGTCCGACTCTATGTCCTTTCACACTTTCGTTTCCGGAGATTATCTTGGAAACTTAAAGACTAATCTTTGTGAAATTTAATATTTAATGTGGTGATACACGGTATAATGTAGATGTGCGATAGGGATTCAAAAATCGTCTAAGGTCAAGGCCGAGGCCACTGTTACTAAAAATTAGACTGGGGGGGGCAGACATATGTACTCCAGCGGAAACACACGCACCACCTAACGTATTAGCAGCAAAACTTTAACTTATTTCAGCATGAGTAGTTAAAACTGTCACGTCTCGTTCACGATGCTATCTTGTAAACTTGGATGGGGCATCAGACTATCTCAATAATAACACGACGATTTAAAAAAAAAAAATTTTTTTAGAAGAATGCTTATGTCACGAAACCAAGTCTAAATAAATTGATGTTGTCATCTTGTCAGCGTAGATTTTAACCACCAGGTTTGTCCACTGTACACTATTGCGGGTATTGCCATATCAAAATAAGATATGTAATATCAAATGTAGACTTCACAAAGTTCAACCATTTAGTCTCCACTTTCCTGCAGCTTAAATGCAAACTGTTATTTTTATTATATAATTTGTTGCCACTAGTTACAAGTTGAAAGTCTACTAGAACATCACCAACATCTGTTTTACAGCTACATGTACCTCTCATGTGAATCTTCCCGATTCTTCAATAAACGTGTAATTGGGTGTTAGATCTAACTTTTCGAAGCCCCATGCCTCACTAGTATATAATAATAAAGACATTACAGGATGTCAAACAACGACAGCCTTACGAAAGTTAAGGTCTTTACAAATGTCCATTGTAATTCAAATTAAGACCCGAGTATATGACCTCCGTACCTCTCAGGATCATTGGATGTGAGGTTTGGTTGATCAGTCATTTCTTTCACTTAAAATATAAGCTTTCGTTCAGGATTTATTTTCTTTTAGCCTAAACCGCCTGAATTTTGCAATAAAGCTTTCCACTTTTCTGCATGGAGAGACCACACGAAGGGAGGTAACTCTGTTTAAGTTTCAATGAAAACTTCGTCTATAATATCACAAAAAAATAAGGATAGATTTTCTCTATCCTTCTAGCCCATTAGTTAGAGCTTCAGATGAGTAAAACAGAGGTCCCTGGTTTGAGCCCTAGAAGATTACAGACAAAAAGCCTTACCTTTCGGTCATTTGAAATATTGTTTGAAAAACACATTAAACACATCTCCTTAAATGAAGAGGTAAAAGCGCTAGGGGTCTCTCTTTGTTTTTTCTTTACTGAAAACTTCACTATCACATTCTTTTGCAGTATGCTAACGGACATTGGGCGGTAGAAACAGTAGAAAAGGGATCCGCTATATAATGGAGACAGTCAGGACATGAAGTCGAACAACGGAACTCGAATTTGTACCCAATTAACAAAAGAAGATCTTCACATGTAATCACTTATGAATTAATAAATATCATCTTTCAATAAACACTTTATTTGCATATTATTATTAAAGGAAATGACCCGTCTATCCAAGCATCGCTGATGTCATGGATGCACAATATAGAGCAAGTTGCCTGATGAATGATGTGGACAAAGAGCTCGACAATATAATATAGAATGGGATCTATATATCACTACATAGTATCTATATACAAAATAGTTGCACATTTGTAACTACAAAGTAGTTTGAAGGCATAATAGAAAAACACAGTGAAATACATACATAGACATATGTACACGTCGAAAAGTCGCAAAGTGATTGCTTATATTTCTAATATACATTAACATGAACAAAATTAACATAGCTTCAAATAGAAAATTTGATTTAAACATTTTTAGCTGTAAAAGTCCATACCTTATATTGTCAGCAAGCCCATTCTCCTCAGTTCTAAAGACTGTTTAATGAATAAGCAAGAGTCCAGTATAAACTGTGAGTTGTTTGTAGATTATTGAGGTCAAATAATTGGTATCTAAGGTAACATCATTGTGATTAGGAATGCATTTTTGGATTACAACATAGTATCTATATATTACTACATTGTATCTATATATTACTACATTGTCATGAGAGACCTGCGATGGGTTGTTAACTATTCGCTTACTTTAAAGGTTGGAATAGTTCAATATAAAATTTCAGGGGTGGATGAGTTAAAGGTCAAATTAAGGAGTATAGTACTTTAGCCGACATACGACCTACTCCTTGGAGCATTGCAATAGTAGCCCTGTTATCGGACGAGATTGTAGGAATGATTTTGAGTACATCTAAAACAAATTCATTTGAATTAAAACAGAGATGAAAAGAACAGAAGTAAAAACAAAAGTTTTAAAAATTGGGATTGATTAACTTTCAAAACCTGCCCTTTCAGCTGTTTTTATATTGACGGGGACTGTAACGATACAGTGAACAAATGTCTTTCTTCCACATTTTTTGTTTTGTGCTTTTGCTTTGGTTTTTGTCGGGTTTAACGTCCTTTTAACAGCTAACATTTGAGATTATTTAAGGGCATTTAATTTTGTAACTTCAACACCATTTTGAGAAAAAAATCAAACGTTCAATAGCATTTGGAAACNAGATATCGATTTAGGAATAGATCTAACATACAACCAAAAGGCGTTCGAATTTCAAACTGAAGATGTTCCGAATATGAATCAGACACCTTTGAGGTTCCCGAAGGGGGAGACTGTTATATTATATATTGCTATTGATTGATTGAGATTTTTATGTCTGACCAACGACTATATTGGTAAAATTTCTTTTTAAACCAATATCAAAATTTTAATAAAAAAGTTCAGGTAGAAAACCTCAATAACGTCTCTTTTTCTTTATCACCTATTCACGCAGTGACAAAAGAAAACGTCACCTAGCAAAAGGGCAAACTTGATTTGACATGCCGGGTTTGTGCTTGCCGCCGGCACCCTACATTCAAGCATACGCGGAATTTGGCGGACACAAATAACATTTTGTATCGCTTTGCATTTCTCTGAAGTCCGGCGAAACTTCTAATCGAACGGCAGGTGCCGAACATGCGGGACTTAAGGGACATACGTAATCAGTAGATAAGTTCCGCCTTCTCGGCGGTAACCT